GGAAGAATTTTTCAATCATCACAGTCATTGTATCGTTAAACTTTTTATATTTTGTATCACAGTCATGTATGTCCAAGATAGGAGACCAGTCAAATGTAGTGATATATCGTCCAAAAGGCCGTATCCTGCTATCTCTGAGATCGCGTTTCCATATATGTGAATTGTCTGGCTTTGAGGGAGAAGGTTGGGCTTGCATAAGAATCGTATAATGATCACTGGTTCCAATGGGAGGAAGTTGGATTGATTCGTAAATATTATCCACCTTTGAGTTGGTTAAACACCAGTCTAAAGTTACATCAGCTCTGGTAGCTACCTTGACTACCTGCGTCAGACCAGCAATTATTTTAAGATGGTTTGCATTGAGACCCGTGCTTCTAAAATTGAAGTCGCCCGTAATTAGGACCAAAGCTTCAGGGTGGGAATATAAAAATGAGTCCACATTGGTTTGAATGTGTGAATACAATTCTACATTTTCAGTTTGGCGGGATGCTGTTGAATGGTAAACAACAGCCAGTAAGATAACCGAGACAAAGCGGGGTAGCTTCTTTGGTCTCACTGATAACCACAGTGATTCAATCAAAGAGTTTTCAAATTTCTCAATTCGTCTACAATAGATATTGCTATTTATGTAGGCACAAACACCTCCGCCGTTTGAAACCAGTCTATCGTTCCTAAACAGATTGAAATTGGACAAGGATACCAAGTTGTCAGGAATTGCAGGAGATAACCAAGTCTCTGTAATGCAGACCATGTCCGTTTGGTTAAAAGACACCACAGCGTCAAGTTCGTCGACCTTGGACGTCAGGGAGCGGAGATTACAAATTAAAAGGTTTGGTATTTTGGTGAAGGGTAACGTAGACTCAAATTTTAAGCGTTCAAGTGTATTAGTTTTTTGTACTGAATAGGAGTATCGTGATGGGGTCGATTCTGGTAGATCGCTGATCGGGAAAAGCATAGGAATGCATGTGGGAGAGGACTCAAGGGAAATACATGGAGTGGAGCTCTGTTTATGAGGATTTAGTAAAATCTGTTTTGGTGGATCTGGGAGGATAATCGGGGAAAACTGGAAGAGGGTAGTGGGATTTCCATTAACGGCCTTGAATAAGATGGGGGTCGCCATGGGTGTAGGCTGTACGTTTGGAGCTGCTGAGGTTGGGCTGTGTGGACGTTTGGTGGCAATGGCACTTGCGCTCGGGATAAAAAAGAGGCAGGTGGCAAATGGCTACTAGTAGTGGTTTTTAATACCAACCTTCTGGTTGGTACCCAAGCGTGGGAGAAATCACATCGATCGTCTTTCAGACAGAAGCCTCTGTTCTGCAAAAAAGGACAGGAGACATTATGTTTATGTGTATTGTGAGATGGTTTAAGATGCTGAAAGTCGCATCGGTCTCCCTTTCGACACCAACCTCGACGCAGAAGAAATGGGCAAGGAGTGGAATTCTTTGGTGGGCGGTCGTAACGATTCTTATTTGTCTGCTGGGTTCGCGGTTGCAAGGTCAAATTTTCATAAGTAGGTACACTAACTTCTGGATTGGACTGCATATTAGGCACATTACTTTCCGGTATTCGGTCTTCGTTGTCCTTTTTCTTAGTGCTTATGGGGACGTACTGCGTTGTAGGTGTGACAGAAGATATTTCAATAGCACCAGGGAATTTTTCTATGGAGGCCGAGGCCATCTTTTCTTCTAATTTGGAGATACGTGATTTGAGATGCAAATTTTCTTCACGCAATTTGCATATATCTTGCTTATTTATGTTGATAGTTTCGTCTTGCTTTGTGAGTTTAGCCAATAAATTTGATATTTCATATTCAACCTTCTCTTTAAAATTGTCAAATAATGCATTTTTTGTAGTGGCGTTGTCGCTCTCGCGTTGTTTAAAGGGGGTAGAATTTACAAATACTTGTTCCACAGTACCCTTCGTTACTTCACTGTGTCGGGAGTTCATAATATTTCAAAATGAATCGTCAATAAAATTCTCAAGCTCCACAAGCGACGAATTATCAATAGGTGATATTATATCTATTTTGGCGACAGGAATCTCGGCTCGATAATCATTATTCTCGGTTGTTAGGTTGCTTACTTCGTTCTATCACCGGTGCAGGTTATTACTGAGACTTCGGCAGACTGTACGCCTGTGTCACTCTGTTGGGGCAACATAAGTTCACTATTTAGGCTTACCAGTAATTTCTTTAAAGACTCCCCTTCGCTACCTTGGACAACTAATGTTCGTTGTTTGCCGCGATACCAAGTTATTGTCAGATCTGAGTTGCTTATAAACTTCTTAGAATTCCCGCCAGGTGAAATCCATTTACCGCTCAAACCAACGGTATTTTGAATAAAACTCTCCAGTTCATCATAGTTGCCGTTCCACTTTAAACGTTTCCCATCATAGACAAGAGTGTTGTTGTTTTTATACGTTCGAATATCGTCCAAATTCACATTTCCAACATTAAATTTAGTATTGGGAATATCTATGGAGTTAACCTTAGCATGATGTTTCTTCGTTTTGAACAGTTTAAAGGACTTTTAGGCCTGTTTTATACGTCGAATTTCGGTCGCGTCGAATGCAATTCAAACAATAGATAATGAAGCTTAATGAGGTTTATCATCTCATTATCTATTGTCTTAAGTGCATTCGACGCGACCAAAATTCGACGTATAAAACAGGCCTTAGACACTTTTTTCCGTTTGAAACTCGACTCTCGTCGCAGGGCAATAAAAATTACGTATTGCCCGTGGGCAATACGGGAAAATCCTGCCTCGTCAGCAGCCAATCAAATTGAGCGATTCATCAAAACAAATGCTTGCCATATAATAATAGTATTTATTATCGCATAGCTAAATATATGCATACGCTACTGTTGTTCGTATTGTACTTTCGCTTAAAAATAAGATTAATTGTCTTAATTTAATGTTTAATTACTTTCAACTCAATAAAATTTGTAGAATAGCCTGATAGAAGCATATGTTTGTCGTCATAAATATTTAGTCGTGTACAGGCATATTTAGACTTGACCGAAAAATTAATATAAAAAAATTTTCGGTCTATAATTTATCATTTAAGCAAAGTTAGCCGGCGAATTTTTGCAGATAATAATCAAATGCAAAAAACTGTAGTGTTTATGCAGTGAGTAATGGTAAATCATGTTCCTATTTCCCGCGAAAAATTTGGAATTGAACGCGTAATTTGATTTAATTTCCATTATCCATCGCCGTTCTTCGTTCTACCGTATTCGCTTGTTAACGCTGTCTGATATTTACCGCATTGAAGATGGCCAGCAATGAAAATAGCTCTGAACATTTTGATCATTGTGTGTGTCAAAAAGCCGTCTTTTACTAATGCAAGTTCTCAATGCTTGTACAGTGATGCTGAACAGTATACTAGTCAGTATTTTGAAGGAAAATATCTATTCTTAACAACGTCCGTGTGGAATGTATGTCGTGGAAATTACTTCAGATCTAGACTACCACCGAAGTCGCTTTTATAAATTCTGCTAATTCTCGCAGGCGATGTAGAATTATGCCCTGAACCTCGTATGAGATGTGGCGACTGCAAGAAATGCTTCCGAAGAAACGCTGATCAAGTTTCATGTACCATCTGCATTAATGTCTTTAACTTGAGATGTTTGTGTAATGATATTTGCCGAACGTGTTTAACTAATGGCCGTAGTGAGATTCATCCCGAGGACTATTCAAATTGGCCAAACACGCCACGGAAGCTGATTAACTAATGAATTTGAGTAATTAACGTTGTTTTATGAATAAATAATGATGTACAATGCATAAAACCCTAGTTTACAGGTTGTAACTGCTCTTTCTGTGCTGATCGC